CTCTCTCTCTCTCTCTCTCTCTCTCTCTCTCTCTCTCTCTCTCTCTCTCTCTCTCTCTCTCTCTCTCTCTCTCTCTCTCTCTCTCTCTCTGTAACTTGCAGTGTTTCTTAGATTTTATTCCGGGGACGGTCTATTTTCATTTTTGTTTCTTGTTCTTAGTAGGTCAAGTTGTACTTTTATTTCACATATCGGCTTTTCTACAAACCTGTGAATTTTGAATTGTGGTAAGAAACATGAAAATCAATTCATAATCACCCGCTTCTGAGAATAAAATGGGCATGAAGGAAATACCCTCATGCTATTATCGACTAAAATAAAACTGCCCCCATGTTTCTGTATAACAAAATGAATCTGATATTACTTTCATATTTTTTAAAATTTATCTATATCGAGTTTCATTGACAGTGCATTCATATACAAGAGTTTCTTACAGTGTAATGTTACACTCATAATTTATTTCTATTTTTGTATACCATTAGTAAAGTTATATCCATTGATGCCCACTTCTTAATTACTCAGAAAGACTAATCTTTTGATTCTGATACAATGGCCAAAATTGCATCTTCTGATGATTTTTTTTTCTCTCTTTTCTGAGAAATCAACCCTTTTATTTATAAAAGACGAATAAACACAGCATGACTCTGCATTTATGATTTTTGGCTGTTATGTTTGAATCCTGTTGCTGTTTTACTTACTGTGTGTGTATGTACGTAAACCCTTGACGAGATAGACATTAAAAGTAATCTGAGCTATCATAAAAATTGGTGAATAATTTTGCCGGGATTATAAACTTACCCTAAACAATTCAAAGGAAGTGTGAGCTTAACAAGTTCAGCTATGTGAAGAATGAATATATATATTATATATATATGAAGTCGAGTATCATGAGGAGCAGCCAATGTGACTTTTCTTCTAAAATAAACAAATAGAAAAATAGAATAATAGTAATAATAAACACAAGTCTCAGTGACTCTTTATATATATTTTGAGGGGGATTTTAATGAGTAAATATACTATTCGTATGCATATGCATTTACCAATATATATAATTTATGTCAAAGAAATACTCTCCTTGCCAAATACCCGGCTTGTTGCATTAATTGTAAAATAATACTATTCATATTCGCAGAACCATGTCCATGCCCTTGAGACGTAATTTTTAGGAACAGGGAATGATGATGTACATGGAGGAGAGGATAGTTTTTTTTTATTGGAGGGAGGGTGTGGGAGGAAGAGGGGTAGAGAGAACTAGAGGAAGAGGAGGATGGATATCGGCAGATACTCTGAATGATAAGCGACTAAAGGGATTGGAGAGTGGATAAGGAAGCGGATCATTCTCCTGAGTCATGCTTATGAACTTTTGGATGTCTTCAAGAGTTTCTGGAGAGGAGTTGGGTGGGGGGTCTGAGAGACTAAGGTTTTCTTATGTGGAGAAGATGGAATAGATGTGCGAGGAGCAGAGGGAGAGGTGGGTGTAGATGATGTGGTAGAAGAGTGGAACGTTTAGAATATCTGTTGTGATAGGGGCGAAGTACAGTTTTGGAAAAGGTAGAAAAGAAAAAATAAGTCGGCGTGCTTCTTGTCTGGCCTAGTTTGAATCTGAGAACTGCTACCTCAGATTCGGTCGTGTAGGCAGGGCAGCTCCTATAAGATAAATTATGGGAGCCACTGCAATTGGCACACGTGTGTGACTGAGCAGAGAAATTTGAACGATGATGACCAGACTGGGCACACAGAGGGCAGCGGTCTATATAAGTATATTTACATAGACCTTGAGCCAGAACACCAACATTTCTGACATTGGCAGGGAAGAGGTCGATATGATCGGACAGGGCAGGACATTCCACCAATATAAACTTCATAGGGGAGGTCATATCTATGGAAGCTCATCTTGGCAATATTGGTGTAGGAATTACGTTGGTCTCTGAGAGGAATAGTGTAACACTGGACTGAACTGCACAATGCAAGCAAATCGTTTTCACAGTCTGACAAGTCCTTGATCATCAGTAGGAGAGACGGAAACCGTACCGGTACATGTCTTAAGGGAGGAGTGAGGTTGGGCCGGAATAGGTTTGCCACTGAGGTCAGTCAGGGTAGATAGTGCACAGCTTGGGACTCAGATGTAACTGTGGTAAGGCGTGAACGATCAGAACGACTGCAAAAGGAAAACTTCGCCTACCTGTTTTTGAAGATATTGTTGGAAGAGAAGGGTATTGTCAGAGTACGGAGTTGAAGAGGGAATCGCAAAGAATTGATCCCAGTTGGCTGAGCCACAAAGAGTACTCAAAAGATTTGTTGAGTGGAAGCAGGAGAAGGACGAGGGCGGGAGGAAGATGGGTGGTATGGAGGAGGACAATAAGGATGAAGAATAGTAATAAGGGGGGAGGTAGACAGTGAAGAAGATTGTGCAGTAGAAGATGGAGTGGAATATGTTGGGAGAGATGAAAGGATGTATTCTGAAGGTTGAGTAATAACCTGGGTGGATGATTCGGAATGGATTGGGTTGACCGCAAACATTGAGGAGGGGGTATTAGTATCAGTCGGAGCTGTGGTCAAAGAAGAGGTAGGGGTTGGGAAACCAATGAAATTAAATTTAGACAGGCTAGTTGATGAAGGGGCAAGCCTCCATGCCCCACAAGGGTAAAACATCTTCATTAAGCTGAAATAAATGGGGAGAGGAAACGGTCTGCCTCTCAGGGTCCCCATGAGGGGTAAGGGCTAGACAATTAACCATGGCTCCCGGGGGCTGTTCATGACTGATATAAAGTCTCGGGGGAGGTCGGTATGATCGGACAGGGAATGACTCTCTGCTAATGTATACATTAAAGGGGATGTCATGTCTACGAATGTAATATTGGCAATATTGGTGGGACTTATGACTAGGGGGGGTGGTGTAGCAATGTACCAATACTGCATCATAATCCATGAGGCTGGTGAGACTTCTCCACAATCTGACTAATCCTTGTCGTAGACAGGGCAGTTTGTTGGGGAGATGGAGACAATTCCGGTACAAATATTGAGGGAGGGATGAGGTTGGGCAGGAATGAGTTTGCCAATTTGTCAGTTTCAGTTGACAATAATGCTAGAGCTTGGGATTCGGATGTGTGACGGTGCGGGTATATCCGAGGCGGCTGCGGAAGGAAACTTTAGCCTACATGATTTTGGAGGCATTGCTGGAGGAGAGTGTTATTAGAGCTAGACAATTAACCAAAGGTCAGCAATATAATGAGGCAGACATTATATTTATTCATTATATGTGACACCATATTTCAGACTGAATATATCTTTCAGCACGACTCACAATTTAGGAAGTGGACTGAAGGGGATGATGAAGAGAAGAAGGAAAGGGTGAGAAGAAAATACTATTCAAAATTAGTTGAGGCGAGGGCTGAGGTGCAAGGTTGGGGTGATCCCATACATTGGGTCTCAGTCTCCGTCTCCTAAGCCCCCCCACCACACACACACACAACAATGAGCAAGGGATTAGGGGGGTAAGGGAGGATGGGGTAGTTTAAGAAAGTTGTGGGGGTGGAGAGGAAGTATAGGATGTTAGGTGAGGAGGAATATTTCCTGGTGATTGTGAATTGACCTTGAGGGAGGATTTGGACTAGACTGATGTGGTAGTCTGCATTGAGGAGCAGGTAGTAGCAGCAGTGTTCAAGGTCTTGTTCAAAGGAGAGCCTAGAGTCGGGGAACACACAGAATTTGAATCAGTGGGCCTATTTGATAAAAGGGTAAGATGCATTACCCTAATAATGGTATAAATTCTTCATTATTGGCGATGGTAAGCCTTAAGTATGTTGGGAAGAGATACCGTTCACCCCACCTATTTACATGAGTCACATGTTAGAAAGTGGATAGTAGAATGAGTTGGAAAAGAGAGGGAACTGAAAAGGAGAAAGGAAAAAGACCATGCAAAATTAGTTGAGTCAAGGGTTGAGGCTCAAGACAGGAGTGATCCCAAGTACTGAGTCCTAGTCTCTGTTCCCAAAGCACCCACGGCCAAAACGGGCATGGGATTGAGAGATAAGGAAATATAAAACAACTTAAATTCAGAGTAAATGTATTCATATAAAAATCTCATAATAAAACATTTACAATAAGTTTAGAATAACAAAAATACAACAGAAACAATATGTAGAAAATATATCATTTATTTTTCTGCAAACTTCACAGGTAAAAATATGCTTAAGTTACTATAGGAAATACTTATGGAAGCACTGTAGCTCAGAAACACCCAATGTACAACAATGAATATACATATTTAAAACATTAGTGATCTAATTTTTAAAGTCACACATTCCTGTTTGTGGTAAAGGCCTTGAAAGACCTTAGTTTTACAAAGCCACTCTTGCCTAAATTAATATATTGCAAACATCAACTATAGTCTAGCCTGGACTTAGTACTGGGAGGCACACCCAGCTAAGGCATTGGCATATTTGAGAAATGAGTTCTCATTATGAAATGTATTGTACTTGTCACCGAAAAGGGATTTTGATCTAAAAACTGAGGACTATATTTCTCCAAAAGAGAAAATGCTGGTATGTTGTAGTCAGCACACAATGAGTTATGTATATGGAAGAAGTATATACTAAAGAGAGATTATGCCTCCTTCAGCCCTGTCAGGTAATTTGATGGGCAAGAGTGGTAAGTCTGTCATTAGCCACTTTGTGACAATATTGACATGCAAAACAAAAGATTAGCTCTGCCCTTAGCTGAAATAAATCAACAGAAACTAACAGCTGGTTTGACAACAGGTATAGAGCATTGAGCACAGATTGTGGTGATATGAACTATTGGCTTACCACCCACATACTGGCTACTGTATTTTGTGACTGCATAACAACCATTTACTAAGCCACCTGGACAACCCTACTAGCATGCCGGATAGAGCTTGTTAAGTGAGCACACAGCATGCTGGACAATGCAGACCTCAAACATGATGTATAATGCTGGTAGAAATAATTTTCTGATTGCTGTTACTAACTACAAATGTTTGTGAGTATGATTGTATGTGTATGTATCCCTGTCTTTATATATGTAGGGGGAGGAAATGTATACATGTAAACATGTAAACACTGATTTATTATATCAATGTATATTTACTTTTCCTGTGACATCAGCTACTGAACTAATGAATAAAAAGCCTTTTACAAAGCTTTAGTTTCAATAATACTAATATATTATATAAAACATACAAAGAATAATGATTATTACACAGAATTTCTACTTCACTGTCAGTTTCCAGCATGGACACTAATACTCTACCTATAATCTCAAAACCAATTTTTGTATATTAACTCATTAATGTCTGGTACATGGACTCACCTGATAATTCCTTGAATTGATTGTATTTCCTTTCTAATATTATTTTTGGCAGATGAGATTGTTGAATAAGCAATTCTGTTGCTATCTCTGAGTGAAGAGAATTCAGAAAATAAAACCACAGTAGACTGGGCATGTGTGTGACAAGATAAATTTCTAAAGACAGAAAAAATAAAATATAAATATATAAATCATATCATATGTTTAAAAACTACTAAACATGCAAACTAAGTATTAAGTGTGAGATGATTACAATAAAGAACAGACTTGGCACACTGGAGTACTCCAGAATGCAGGGTATTGCCACTTTTTCTTTCCTAAGATTATATGAACTTTGGTATTATTTAATCAAGCCACACTTAAGGCAATTAACCTCAAGACTGACTGGTCTTGCATATGTTTATATCACATATATAATAGTGTCTGATAACCATGATGAATTTATATTAGCCTAGTCATTCCACTTCTCTTCTAAACCCAACACACTGTTCACCTGCTGATTATGTACTGCTGGAATTTCACATTTCTAGTCCGAAATGGAGTTATCACGAATATCAAGTATCAGTTCTATTGACTTTTCACTTATTTTTGCCCTTTTATATTTAAGTCCAAAGGACAGCGATATAATGAGGCAGACATTATCTTTATTCATTATATGATACCATAATTCAGACTGAATATATCTCAAGACAGGGCCAGAGCTGCCTTGACTACAGCCAAGTATGCTTGTTGTGTCATGCAGCTCAAGCACAAGATCTAACACAACAAAAACAAAACCCTCAAGTCAGACTCAAGGGTTGAAATGACAAAGATGCAGTTTTTGTTTCCAATTCTGATATAAAAATCAAAATATCAAAATAGCTTTAATCAAGAACTCTGAAAAAGAGAAAACAACTCATGTGTCACTATCATGGAAATTCATACATTTGGAAATTATCTTCACAAAGAACTTGCTACTATTTCTGTTTGGCTTGTATAGTAATTCCTCTGGCATGTAACTCATTATATCCAAATTCTTAAAATCCCTATATTCTATATTCTGTTCTGTATTCATATAATTCACGGGAAAACTTAATTTTCAAGCTATCACTTCAAGCAGTTTATTAGGAAATGCGTGGTTTAGCAGCAAGTAAAAAAAATAGTCCCCAAAACGTGAAAGACAACAGAATGAAAAGAGAAAACCCAACTCTGTTTTTCCTAGTTCTTGTAAATGGTTCTTCCGATATAAAGGGCTATGTGATCCAGTGTCTTGTTACCACTGTGCTTAAAAATTAATTTTCACTGCACTTAAAGAACTGAAATACAAGTTGTGGTGTCATTTATGGATTAAGAGGATATGGGGCTGAAGATGATGAAGGGTATGAGGAAGGCATGGACGGGGGAGGATGTGAAGGTGTGTCAGCAGGATATGGAGGTGAGGATGAAGGTGCATATGGTGGATAATGTGTAATGGCTGAATATGGTGGAGGTGGGGCTGAAGGATCTCCAGAAACATTAGCTAAGTAGGCATCATTATATGCATTAGAAGGAAAACTCTGTGATGAGTATTGAGAGTTTGCAGGACTCTGAAATCCTAAAAGTTGTGCGGGTGGTGCCAGTGGATGAGATTCTGCTGTTCTTGCTGGTATTTCCCCATTGTCTATTTCATCTGCAGTAATCCTAGTGCCCAGTTCTTCCTCTGACAAAAGTGGGGCAGCTGGTACAGAGGAGGTAATCGGAGCAAGAGGATATGAAGCTGTACTTCGTTGGAAAGATGGAGGTGCTGATGCATCATCCTGGTACGCCTGCTTTTTTGTGTATCTATGGACAAATAATTTAGAAACCCTTAGTGCTTTTGATATATAAATTCAAAATCTAATAGAATTTAAAATCAACTTTCTTGGGAGCAGCAAGTTTTTAAAAAATGTGTGGTATAGGGCTATCTAACAATATGATGAGTCTTGCTGCCAGCCCAGCTACTATGTAAACCCAAACTTAATTACTGAAGAGGAATAGCTAGCTAATCAGCAACTTAACTTGTCAGTGACAACCCCATTACCAGTTCAAATATGGAGTGCTTTGGTCAATGATAACATGAATGTTAACAGTAACAACAAAACATCAACAATAATAATATATATTAATCATGTAAAAAATAGAATTGATAAAAAATAAGAAAAAAAACGTGATATATACATATATACACACATATACATATATACAAGTATATATGCACATAAATACATGTATATACATATATACATATGTATATGCATATATATATATATATATATATATATATATATATATATATATATATATATATATAAATACATATGTATATGTACATAGATGCATAAATACATTTATATAGACATACACATTTATATACAAACACCATGCATATATATTTTATATATATTATATATACTTCATATGATATATATTATGCATATACATAAATTATATATAGATCATATAAATTACATATATTTATATATCCATACTTATATTTATATTTATGTATATATGTACACACACATATGCTCACCTCCAAGTAATCTTTATTGCCCAGCTCCAAAATGCAATGATTGACAAACCACCCAGGATGCCAACAATTAAAGGTCCTGTTGATGACGATGCACCACAGTCACATACCTGCATTTCCTTCTTGTATATACAGGGGCTGAAGGTAAAAGAGAAAAAACACATGTTTCGAATCACTGTTCCAGTGTGTGTATGTTTTACTTCATAACACATACACACGCATAGGTTTGTATATACAGAGAGTCCCCTACTTAAGAACATTCTACTTATGAACATTCCATACATACAAACAAAATTTTTTAAGTAATAACAAAGAAAAAATTGTTTGAAAGATACTAGTAAACTTCAAATTTCCCGGGAACAAATATAGTTCAAGAGTCTGGTACTGTATAAGGTATGTCGTACTTATTGGGATTTATTTACAGGTATTCTTAATATAAACAAAACTTTAAAACAAGGGAAAAAAGGAATTGGAGACCTGACTTTCGACATACAAACAAATCAACTTACAAACAGCCTCTCGGTCACCCATTATGTTCTTAAATTGGGGACCTACTGTACATAGCTAGATAGCTAGCAAGCTAGACAGATGTATAGATAAGCAGACAGAGAGAGAGAGAGAGATGAGTTTGTGTTTGTGTAACTGTCTTACACTCACTAATTTTATGTATCTTCCCTAAATACAAATTTATTGTCTAAGCAAATGTATCAAGTAACAGATTAACCACTGATCCACCAAAGCAATACCTGCTGCAGTAAACTGGTTTATAATCTATAGATACGCCATTCTTACCGGGGACAGGAACATGCATATTTATAACACTCCAAGCCTTCAATACAATGAGATTTCGACTTGCAGTATTCACCATGTAGGACAATGTACTCTGTGAAAAATAGATTTATTTTCCTTCTAAAAAAAAATAATAATAATAATGACAAAAACTACTGAACAAGTAATTAAGACATAGCAAATTGTTTCTAAAATATTTCAATTCACTGTAAAAATAAAACAGTCATACTTCAAGGCAAACTAAAAGAAATAGGTATTAGCTATAAAGATAACTTACTTGTAAGGTTACTGGCACGCAGGAAATCAGCTTCAGGTTCACACCGCCCACTGGTTATATTTGGAAGAAAAGTACTGGAAAACCAAGAAAAACAATCTTTGAACACTTAAAATTTGTTTTCATCAACTATTAGATCCACACAAATTGTTTGCTCTACTTATGTATCCTAAAATTACAGTTTCTTGAAAACTCTTTCTGTAATTTATTTTACCTAAAATATTTGTAATATATCTTATGTATAATATATATATAAACTAATACATATATAATATATTTATGATATATTTGTATATACAATATATATATATAGAATATATATATATAATATTTATACATAATATAGATATATAATAATATATATACAATATTATATCCATAAAATTATATATCAAATAATATATATAGATAATAATACACATATATAATAATATTAATATCATATATATATATATATATATATATATATATATATATATATATATATATATATATATACATATATATATATATATATATATATATATATATATATACATATATATTCATTATGTAGATATATATATATATATATACCTATTGTTTATGTATATTCTATATATAATACATATTATATGTATATATATATATATATATACTTTACATATTAAACATATACATTATATATGTATATATTATATATATACAAACTATATATATATAATATAATATATATGCTATAGATATATATTGTATACATATATGCATATAAATTATATATATATATATATATATATATATATATATATACATGTATATATTATATATGTATATTATACATATAATATATAAATCATATATATGTAATATAAATAAATCTATATAAATATTATATTTATATAGATTAAATAAATCTAAATAAATAGTATATATATAATACATATATACATCATATATAAAAATGTATATTACATATATATATATTATATATGTAATACATATATATATATATATATATATATATATATATATATATATATATATTATATATATATATATATATATATATATATATATATATATATATATATATATGTATATATATTATACACACATTACATATTACAAGTATTATATATAATATATATTCTATATAATATATATTCTATATTATATATTTTATATGTCATATATTATACAAAATATATATAATTATATAAATATATATTATACATAATACATATTATACATAATGTATAATAAACATATTATACATAATTCATATTATACATAATACATATATTATACATAAAACATATATTGTACATAATACATATATTATACATAAGACATACATCATATATAATATATACATTATATATAATACAGATATTATATATAATACATATTTTATCTATAATATATATCATATATAATATATATATTATATATAAAGTATATATCCTATATAAAGTATACATTGTATATAATATATATATTATATATAACTTATACATAATATATATTATATTTAAAATATATATCATATATAATATATATATTACATGTAATATATATATTATATATGATATATATTACATATAATATATATACTTAATATATATATTATATATGATATATATTACATATAATATATATACTTAATATATATACTAAATATATATTATTTATATACTATACATAATATATATCATATATCTGTATAAAATGTATATAATGTTATATAATACATATGGGCGGGTGCTTGATGCTCAGGGTGATGCGAAGCAATGTGTGGTAGCCTATATATTGTTCAGTGCTTGCATGCCTTCTCGCTTGTAGCTGCCACCACTGGCTAGCCTAGTGCAAAAAATGGAGCAGCTCTGCATAAGCCTCCTCTGCTAGTTCACAGCCTCTCCGTCATCAAGATTTCTGCAGTGCCTCCCCGTGGACACCCATGACTAAACTGTGGGGGATCTCAGAGCAGCTGGAGGCCACAGAAGTATGGGGACATGGCCCACCAGTGTGTGGACATGCCCTGGCTCTGTACTAACTCCTGCCCCTCTGTCCTCCTTGGGTTAATGGCCTTCTCTGGGGAGGTGGGCCTTGCCATCCCTCCTCCCCCCAGACAGCTCACCAGCAGTGTCAAAAATAAATGGATGTGCTGAGGGGAAGGGTGTTGTCCCTCCCACTCAACAAGTGAGGAGGGCTGTGGGTCCTGTTAAGAAGGCAAATGTTGGGGCACAGGATGGGAATGGGAGCAGGTGGGATGGGCATGAGGCCTGTGGGGCAAAGCTCAAGGGAACCCTACAGGCAGCCTCACAGCCTGTTGACCCTCTTAATTTGGGGTAACATTAGTGGGGGTGGCAAAGGAGGAATCCACTCAGGGCGACCACCCGAGGCTTAACTACAGGTAAGCTATCCATGTAGGCACTTGGAACATTGGGTCCTTGTGGCAGGACAAGCAGTTACCCCTGCCATTGATGGAATTGGAATGGTTTGAAGCTGAGGTGGCTTCCCTCTCAGAGGTGAGAAGACCTGGCAGCGGCACAATCAGTTGGGGTGGGTACACCTTATACTGGTTGAGCTGTGGCGATGGTCTTCACCTCCAGGGAGTAGCCTGGAGGTGATGTTCTGGGTGACTTCAATGCAGTATTCGGCTGTGACCGAGCTGGCTACGAGATGCCTGTCGGACCCAATGGCTCAGGAGCTCATCCCAGCAGCGAGAACAGCCTCCTTCTCCAGGACTTTGCTAGGTCCCAGAGAATGAGTATTTCTGGCTCCTGGTATCAGCGCTCCAACCTGCATCATTGGACATGGTATAGCAATATGGGTACTGTGGCCAAGGAGATCAACCACATTCTTGTCAGCACTTGATGGAGAATCCTTCAGAATTGCAGAATTTCCCATGGGACAACCTAGGGCAGCTCAACCAGACCTGTTGCAAGGAGTTAGAGATGGGCTGAGGGCCTGCTTGGAGATTTACCATGAGAGACCCTTGTGGCTGGAGGCAAAGGGTAGATGGCCCACAGGGCAACCTAGGAGGTCATGGCTTGGGCAGCTTTACCAGACCTGTCACAATGAGTTAGAGATGGGCTGAGGGCTTGCCTGGAGACTCACCATAAGAGACCCTCGTGTCTGGAGGCGAAGGGTGGATGCTGCCATGCGCCTGTCTGCATTAGCCCCTTGATGATGATGATGATGATGATAAATACATTTACATATGTCTTATAATATAATTATATATGTATATACAGAACACATATATTTAAAAATATAATATATATACTATATATATACTTGTCATATATATATAAATACAGACAAAGAGAGACACATTGACATATAGATTAGACTGACTCATAGATTAGACTGAGAGACAGGCAGATATATAAACAGCAATATAGGTAGATATTAATAACAATATAGAAAAGTGAACTTACTCAAAGCACACACATTTCTTTTCTCCACAGAAGCTATGTTGCTTATGGTCACATACATATATTGAACCATTCTGTATATGGCAGGGCTCCATGACTTTCTGGTACAATACTGCAGAATATAAACAAAGATGGTCATTACATACTATTTTAAGCCATAGAAGAAAAAAAATAAAGTGATAAATTAAGTATTTTGCATGTATGCCTCATTTAGAATTTGACATACTAAACAATCACATTATTTTTATTCAATTTACAATTGACAACTTTGCTTTTAGTTTTATCATAATTAAGATTTGAAACATGCAAATTTATTTAATATGATTACAAATCAAGTTTTATATTGCTTCAAATTTATAAGTTTCACCCAATAAAGTAGCAGTTGCTTCCTAAATTTGATTTATAACTGAAGACAAAGATATAATGAAAACCAGTCAAATGCATCTCTTGTACTGTGAAGATAATCATTCTTATACCATTTCAAGATCAAGTCATGAAGGCTTAGTAATTGATTCCAGTACTTAGGCTATCTACATGCAGACAATATTAATAAAACTAAGTTATAAAGATTAGTACAAGTATATATATGTGATTCATTGATTATTATCTGTGTATTATTTTACAGTATGTGAAATCATGTCAATCTGTACTATTTATGTGAATTGAGAAAATACAGTGGTTAGTACGTTGCCATGAAAGTATTAATTATGTCAAGTTCCCTTTTAGCTAAATTTGAAATTGACCAACAAAATAAAGTTTTTATTTCACTTGCATTTTTACAATGTCTCATTAACTTATCATCCTTACCTTTTTGACAATCTGTGCCAACAAACTCATACCCATCATCACAATAACATCCTTTTCTGTCTAAACACTTGCTATTTGGTGGACATTCCTCCAATGCACTTGTCAGTCTATCTGAACAATGCCTTGTCTTAGCTGTAAAAGAATGACATATTACAATCAAATATGCACCTCTCTGTGTGTTTGTATATGTTCTTATTAACATACACATAAATAATAATGTGTCTTTTCATAGATTAGACTGAGAGACAGGCAGATATATAAACAGCAATATAGGTAGATATTAATAACAATATAGAAAAGTGAACTTACTCAAAGCACACACATTTCTTTTCTCCACAGAAGCTATGTTGCTTATGGTCACATACATATATTGAACCATTCTGTATATGGCAGGGCTCCATGACTTTCTGGTACAATACTGCAGAATATAAACAAAGATGGTCATTACATACTATTTTAAGCCATAGAAGAAAAAAAATAAAGTGATAAATTAAGTATTTTGCATGTATGCCTCATTTAGAATTTGACATACTAAACAATCACATTATTTTTATTCAATTTACAATTGACAACTTTGCTTTTAGTTTTATCATAATTAAGATTTGAAACATGCAAATTTATTTAATATGATTACAAATCAAGTTTTATATTGCTTCAAATTTATAAGTTTCACCCAATAAAGTAGCAGTTGCTTCCTAAATTTGATTTATAACTGAAGACAAAGATATAATGAAAACCAGTCAAATGCATCTCTTGTACTGTGAAGATAATCATTCTTATACCATTTCAAGATCAAGTCATGAAGGCTTAGTAATTGATTCCAGTACTTAGGCTATCTACATGCAGACAATATTAATAAAACTAAGTTATAAAGATTAGTACAAGTATATATATGTGATTCATTGATTATTATCTGTGTATTATTTTACAGTATGTGAAATCATGTCAATCTGTACTATTTATGTGAATTGAGAAAATACAGTGGTTAGTACGTTGCCATGAAAGTATTAATTATGTCAAGTTCCCTTTTAGCTAAATTTGAAATTGACCAACAAAATAAAGTTTTTATTTCACTTGCATTTTTACAATGTCTCATTAACTTATCATCCTTACCTTTTTGACAATCTGTGCCAACAAACTCATACCCATCATCACAATAACATCCTTTTCTGTCTAAACACTTGCTATTTGGTGGACATTCCTCCAATGCACTTGTCAGTCTATCTGAACAATGCCTTGTCTTAGCTGTAAAAGAATGACATATTACAATCAAATATGCACCTCTCTGTGTGTTTGTATATGTTCTTATTAACATACACATAAATAATAATGTGTCTTTGTGTTTATATATTAAATATTATATATGTATACACCATGTACTATATATTATATATCATACACAATACAGTCTATCTATATGTATCTATCTATATCAATGGATCTATCTGTGTGTGTGTGTGTGTGTGTGTGTGTGTGTGTGTGTGTGTGTGTGTGTGTGTGTGTGTGTGTGTGTGTGTGTGTGTGTGTGTGTGTGTGTGTGTGTGCATATATATATATATATATATATATATATATATATATATATATATATATATATAAAATCTAGTTTAATTTCATTTGTTACAATGGTTATTCTTGGTGCAACAGGCTGTCTGTTTATTCTTGCTTCTAAATTACCCTTTGAGCAAGGAAAAACAAGGTTACCATCCACTGGTAACTATGGGATTTGAACACTGGTCTGTAAGTTAGCCAGATGAGAATGCTACCACTAGCACCACACAGCAGAGAGAGAGAGAGTGGGAGAGAGAGTGGGAGTTAGAGCGAGAGCGAGAGAGAGAGAGAGAGAGAGAGAGAGAGAG